CAGGTTGAGATTGCCTACAAGCGATTTTTTGAGGCCGCTCATTTCGGCCACTTTACGAATAGGCCATTTTTTGCTGAGTAGCTTGACAGCTTCGAGTCTTGCTTTGACGACTTCTTCCTTGCTTTGGGCTTTTCTGGCGATCTGCCGGGTCTGTTTTCGCATGGATAGCGGCATTTTTTTGTGTGTTGCAGTCTTGAGATGGGTGTAGTAGAAAGGGCGGGCTATGCAGACATTCAAAGTTTACCGAGAGTGTGATAAGGTGGATCATTCAAATTAGATCTGAAGCGGTGTGATTGGTTGTGTCGCATTGCCTAACCAGTGCAAGTTTGACAAGTTGCGTTGTTACAGCGGCTGGCAACATCACAGGTAAGATGTCCATTATTAAGCCATGTCCATATTTGACCCTGCCAGAAGGGTAACGTGTCTTGCCTCCGCTCTACACGACACGTACCAACGCCGAATGCCCTTCCTGCCCCCCTGCCCCCGCCCCAATCCACACTACCCTTACCAAGGGTACCCGTACCCACCCCTACACACGCGTCACCGCACGCCGCCCCCTGCGCGCCGGCCGTCCCGCGCAGTTACCGCCGTTGCCGTTGCCGTTGCCGTTGCCGCCGCCGCCGCCGCCGCCGCCGCCGCCATGCCGCTCTGCACCTGCCTGGTCGCGCTGCTGCTGGCGCTGCTGTGCGCGCGCGCGCGTGCGGCCTCGCTCACGCCGCGCGAGCCGCTGCGCTGGCACACGCTCACGCTGCTGTTCCGGGGCCCGCGCACGTCGGAGACGGCGCAGCCGAACCCGTTCCTGCACTTCCGCCTGGACGTCGTCTTCACGCACGCTGCGTCGGCCTTCGAGGCCCGCGTCCCGGGCTTCTACGCCGCCGACGGCGACGCGGCCCACACCTCGGCCGCCGCGGGCGACGCCTGGGCCGCCCGCTTCACCCCGCCGCGCACGGGCGCCTGGGCCTACCGCGCAGAGTTCCTCGAGGGCCTGCGCGCGGCCGTCACGGCCGAGGGACGCCCGGCCTACTTTCACGGCGACGCCGGCTCCTTCTTCGTCGGAGAGACTACCGCAAGCCCCCCCGATCTCAGGGCTAGTGGCAGGCTCCAGTACGTCGGCCAGAGGTACTTTCGACACGCCAATGGCGAGTATCGCCTCAAGCTGGGTACCAATACCCCGGAGAACTTGCTGGGGTATGTCGATTTTGACGGCGAGGATGGCGTCTTTACCTTCGACGCCCATCTCAAAGACTGGCGCGAGGGCGACCCTACCTGGGGGCCTGACGAGAAGGGCAAGGCCTTGATCGGCGCCCTCAACTACCTGGCTGCGAGCCGCGTCAACTCCCTCTTCGCCATGCTCATGACCATCAAGGGCGACGCGGACAGCCACGTCCACCCGTGGCTGTCTGTTGCCTACCGCGCGCGCTACGACGTGTCGCGCCTGGAGCAGTGGAGCCTCGTCTTCGACTACGCCTCCTCGCTGGGCATCACCCTCAACCTCGCCTTCCTGGAGACGGAGAACGAGGCCCTGTTCGAGCACGAGGAGAGCGTGTCCACGGCCACGGGCTTCGCCGACACTCGCAAGCTCTTCTACCGCGAGCTCATCGCCCGCTTTGCCCACAACCTGGGCTGCACCTTCACCCTGGGCGAGGAGAACGGCTGGACTGAGGGCAAGCCGGACGACGTGCTCCCCGTCGCCCAGCGCGACGGCCCGGCCCACCCGTGGGGCGTCGGCAACTCCCACCTGCAGCGCCGCCTCTTCACGCAGTACATCCGCGCCGCCGACCCCTACAGCTGCCCGATCGCCGTGCACACCTTCCCGCGCGACAAGGACGCCATCTTCACCCCCATGCTGGGCCCCACGTCCGGCGCCCGCGTGGAGAGCGCCAGCCTGCAGCTGCCGCGCAAGAACCTCACGGCCATGGAGACGGGCGAGTGGGTGTCGCGCTCGACGGCGGCCGGCATGCCGTGGGTGGTCACGGCCGACGAGTTCGGGCGCGACACGCCCGCGGACGTGGGTGGCGTGCCGCTGGACAAGGCGGCACTCGGCCCGGGCGTGCGTGGCGCGTTCGCGTGGGGCCACTTCCTGGCCGGCGGCGGCGGGCTCGAGGTGTTCGCGGGGCCGGCGGACCAGAAGCTGGAGGACTTCCGGCGCTTCGACCAGGCGTGGGCCGAGTTCTCGCGCCCGCTGCGCCTGATGCAGCGCCACGGCATCCCGTTCTGGGCGATGCACGGCGCGGACGGCACGGTCGAGCGCTCGCGCGACGCGGCGCGCAACGGCGTGTACACGTGGGCCTTCGCGCGCGAGGGCGACGTGTACGTGGTGTACGCGTCCAGGGCGGACGATGTGGTGATGAGGTTCGCAGACGTCAAGGGCGAGTTCCAGGTGAGGTGGTTCGACCCCCGCAGGGACGCGTCCGAGGAGCTGCGCGTCGGGTCCGTGGCGACCGTCAGCGGCGGCGGAGACGTGTCGCTCGGTAGCCCCCCCGCCGATGGCGACTGGGTCGCCGTCGTCGCGAGGGAGGTGCCGAGGAGGAGGGCAAGGCTGACAGGCGTGTCGCCGCACGATCTCGTGCCCGGTGCTGTCACCATGGGCGCTTCGGAGGGGCATTGGGGGTAAGGGTGCGCAGGTGTGCGGGTGTGTAGGGAGTGGGTATTTATGTGGTGGCTCTAAGAGGTTATATTTTTATGGATGGTAGTGGGAGGAGGGGGAGGAGGGGGAGGAGGGATCGAAGGGGATAAAACTAGTGATGAGCATTGACTCTCGTGGCCCGATTTACCCGTCATCGTGTCTTCTGTCAAGTCGTAGTGTCTATCGGACCGTTGCTCTCATGTTAGGACTCTTTTTTGGACTTAAATATATATATACTGTATATATATATATTTTTTTCTTGACTTTCGCTTTCCCGACAAGAAGGAAGAGGACATCACCCCCCTGCCAACGTACTTGACTTCTGCCTTGGGCCCAGAAAGAAGATGTGAGAATTGCAGGTTCTTCCTGGTCATTTTTAGATGTGTGTGGAAAAGAAGCTTTTTTAAACCACCTTCAAACTGCATGTAAAATAACTTCGAAACCCAAAACGCCAGTTTAAAAACGGCATCTAGGTACTCAATCTGCATCGGATTAAAAAGATTTTTTAATCTTTCAGCGTATTCAAAGCGCTGCAATCCCGGCGTTCTGCAAGATGTTGTCGCCGAAAACAAGTACGTTGAGGAAACAGTGTCCAAGATAGCTTTTTAAACATTCAATATATTTTACGTATATGTGCTCTACTAGCCAGAGCGTACGTAGAACACTTAGCTCTAGTGTCTATCCGACATATCATGACGACAAGCCCCGGTCGAATAGACAAAAAAGAGCTGTCCTCATCTTCTGAGGACAGCTCTTTTTTTCTTGGCAGTCCTTAGAACAGCCTGTCCTAATCTATCTATCGATTTTCACGGGCAGTGGTGGCGAAGAAAGGGACGCATGTGAGAGTTGCATGACGTCGGGAAGTGATCGCGCGGGAAACAGCCGTTGGACATCGTCCGGTGCTGTACCGCCTGGATTGAGACAAGTGTACCGCAAGGGACGCGTACAAGACGCGCCGCTTCGCCGCTGCGCTCCGAAACCTCCATTCCACCGCCACGTGCCCACGTGTCGAAACCCCCAAAAAATTTCTCTCTGTGCCTCCGCGTCCTGCCGCCTGTCGATCCCCCCCAGGCGCGCAGCACCGCCCCCGCTCACGCGAAGGGACGCCACCCTCGTCCTCGCCAAGTCGACATACTGTTAGTTTTGCATT